TGTTTCAGTTTTGCTTCAGTGTGTTATGTTTTGGTGAGGGCTTTGAATCCCTTTCCTGGTGTTTTCACTGTGTTCTGATTTGATTTTGTATAATCAGCATGAGAAAATATAAGAAAATTACATAATCCCAAGTAGTTTTGTTCTAGAGAGAATTTTAAAAGGACAAGACAAAAATCACCTAGAATTTCAGGAATCAAAGCTTGGCGAGTTCTTCTTGCAAATGTACTTTCATCAACACACCAGACATAGGGTTTACCATCACGTAGACAATGGTCCACTGCCAGCTATTTGCATCATTTTGTGTGTTTTTTTAACATTTACCTGAGATGGCTGCAGATCTGCTACTGAATACACCCTCCCAGGATCTGGAGATCTTAGTATGAAGAGAAATCAGTCATTCTTTTTGTGCCTAAATTTGTTTTTAGTGCCAGCATTTGAATGTGAGATTTCCTTCTTTCCAAACACTTTGTTTTATTCTAGTGCAACTTAAGCATATATGAATAAGGAGAATATAAAAGATGCTCTTCTTCTAAGAAAAGATTGAATGTTTCATAGCAGAATAATTACAAAATAACAATGGTTGTTTTTTTTTGTTTGTTTGTTTTTCATTTTTCTTCCAGAACCAGGAATCAAACTCACGACCTTGCGCTTGCCAGGCAGGCACTTTGCCGCTGAGCTAAATCCCCAGCCCCCAGAATAACAACGGTTAATACACTGTGCACAGTGATCTCAGGGATTTCTTACTGAGCTATGTTCCCATGCAGCTGTTTTTTCAGATTTTATTGGTACATGTAGTGGACTGACAACTGGTGGTCAACTTATAACACCCCCCTGAACTGAGTAAGCATGGTGCTGGGTGTGGGAGGCCCATCTGGGGATTGTTGCCAGCAGCATAAGAGACAGAACTGGAGATGAAGAAGATAGGCTGTTGGGGGTGGAGAAAGGCTGCTGGGAGCTGGTGGAAGCTGTAAGGAGCTGTTGGTTCTGTTGGAGGAGCTTGTCATGCTGGCTTTCCTGATGAACTCGGCTGCTTTCATCCTTTGAGGATCTTGGGACCTTGTTGGCACTGAGAATAGCTTCAGTTCATTTTGGGGAAGCTCTGGTCCTCGCTCTGAGCGTCGCTTCTGGCTCCGGAGGGGAAGATGGCGCACTGCTAGCCTCCTGGAGAAGCTTGCTGCGTTGGCCTTCCTGATGGGAACTCAGCTGTCTTCACCACTGGAGGAGCTCGGGACCTCACTGATGCTGACGATGGCTGTGGTAGTTTTCAGGGGGGCTCTGAGTCTTACTTTGTGCATGGCTTCCTGGCTGTGGTGCAGATCCCTCAGCCTGCTAGCACAGATCCTTCATCATACTGGCACAGACTTCCTAGATTCCACCACTGACTTTTGGGCCTTCCCAGCACAGATCTGTGAAACAGGCCTGCGTGAACCATTGTTGTGTGCTCTGGGCCTCCAGTTGGATTTGTGGGATGCACTGTTATAGGCTCTAGGTCTTCACCTAGATTATACACGACAATACCATGGGATCCAGGCCCTCAGTTGGATTCTTTCATCTTTAGTGTGTGGACAGATTTCCAGCACTCTTTGTATATGACTCTTTGGGCGACTATTATAAAATAATCTTATAATTAATTGTCTTGTATTGTACTGTTCCCCCTGCAGAACCCCAAACTACAACACTATTACATCCATATGTTAAAGGGAGTGGCTCAGCTCTGATATCTCCTTATTGATTTTTTGTTTAGTGAATTATCTCTTTGTGGAAGTGGAGTTTTAAGACTTCCTACTATGATTGTGTTAGTGTTTATTTGACCTCTTAATTCCAGCAGTTCTATGAAGATAAGTGCTCTAATATTTGGTACATAAATATTTATAAATGCTATATCTTCTTTGTAGATTGATGTTTTACATGGTATTAGTGACCTTCTTTGTCTCTTCTAATCAGTTTTCACTTGAAGTTTACCGTGTCTGAGATTAAAATTGCTACCCGTGCTTATTTTCAGGGTCCAGGTGCAAAATGAAAATGGACCAAAGATCTTAACATTAAAACAGAAATATTAAACCCACTGGAAGATAAAATAGGTAAAACACTGAAGACATGGGTATAAGAAAGGATTTTTAAAAAAGAACAGCAATTACACAAGAAATAACAGCAAGAATCAACAAATAAGGTTATATCAGGCTAAATGCCTTACTGCAAAAGATTCAGTTTGAATCTTTTGAATATGCAACCTACATAATGGGAAAAAATTTTGTCAGCTACTCCTCAAACAGAGTACTAATATATAAAATACATACAAAACTAAAATACTTTGACCACCTAAAATTAAAGATCCAGTCAAGAAATGGTCAAGTGAAATGAACAGACACTTCACAGAGGATGAGGTACAAATTATCAACAAATATATGAAAAAATATTCAACATCTCTGGCTATCAGAAAGATGAAAATTAAAACAATTCTAAGATTCCATCATACTCCAGAAAGAAAGCCAATCATTAAGACATCAAAAAACAAAAACAGCTAGCATAGCTGTGCTGAAAAAGGAACATTTCTACATTGTTGGTGAGAATGTAAACTAGTACAACTAGTATGGAAATCAGTATGGAGCTATTTCAAAGAACCAACATTAGAAATTTCATATATATAGCTTCTAGATATCTCCCCAAAGATCTTAAGACATCCTTCTACAGTGATACATGCATACCAATGTTTATAGCAGTGTGGTTTATAACAGCTAAATCCTGGAAGCCACCTATATATGCATCAATAGACTATTGGAAAAAGAAAATGTGGCATCTATGTACAATGCAATACTAGTTGGCTATAAAGAAGAACTAATTTGAGACATTTGCAGGAAAATGGATGCACCTGGAGAACATAATGTTGAGTGCTATAAATCAGACACACAAGCTTATATATGGTCTCTCTCATCTGACTAAGGTAAAGTACAAACTAAGAGAAAAATAAAAGAAGAACAGAGGAGAGGAAAGGATAGATCTCTTGCAGATAGGAAGGGGTCCAGGGGACCAAGGGCATGAGATAAGGGTCAGGGGATGGGGAAATAGGTAGAGTAAAGATATACCTGATAACCTCAGTGAATGTGGATAGTATATACCATAAACATGAACTAAAATTAATAATATCAACAAGAATGAAAAGAGAGAAAATGGAATTAGAAGAGGAGGAAGAAAGGGTGAGGAAAGGGGATTATAAAAAAAGAAACAAAATCTATTATGTACATGTGCCAACTCTCCAAGATGACTGTAAAATGTTTATACTGCAAACATGCACTAATAAATAAAAATTGAAATATGAGGCATAAAAAAGAAAGCTGGTTTATAAGTGATTTAAAGTATATACATTAAAAAAATAAATTTTGCCATATCCATGAAGAGCACACTTGCAAACATTTTGAGAAAGTGAAAAACAGGTTTACAGGTACTAGAGACCATTATATGTTTGGTTAAAGCAGGTGTTTACCTGGCTCCAGCTCTCTTTGGAAGGTGTTAATTGCTGAGGATTCCAAGGGGTAAAAAGGAGGAGGAGAAAAATCCCCATGTGAAATAATGCCAGCAAAGTTGTTTGTTTCTTTGTCTATCTGGCATTTATAAGCTCTCACCTCTGTGGGGGCCAGCGGGCCATCATGATTCCTTAGGCAAAGAATGCCAGCCCCTTAACTGGGTGAGTACCATTCCCAGACCCCTCACTGTACGCCCCAACTTGGTTTCCATACATGTGAACTTTACCCCTTGTCCCTGGGAGAACTTTCTCTCCCACAGCAAATGTCCCAATGGGACTTGGGTACTTGACAGTGAGAGAATGGAGAGAGGGAGGAGCCAGTAAAGCCCCACTAACTGGAGAACTGGAATGTCAGGGTAAAGTAATTTAGTCAAGGGCAGGTCATCTTAAAGAAAGGCAGTTTAGCTTTGGAAATACTTCATTTGAGGTAATGGTAAGAACTTGTCCATACTGAAGACTGGACCTTCAGAGGTGAGTCACCTGATGGATTCCTGAGGATATTGTTTATCAGGAATTGTCTCCTTTGGCTCATCCCTTTGCCTTTGGTGATCTCCAACTCCAGCCTTATTCTGTGAGTTAGGCTTCTTGTGAGTGACTTAGTATTTGTTTTTCAGCCAGAGGTTAAGGTAGATCCCTGTGTATTTCATGAGAGTGACCACTTTGGTGCTGAGGACACATCCTGTAAGTGACTATGCCTGAGGGTCACTGATGGCTCTTATCTGGTCACCATGCTTATGATAGTACGTGGCTTAGATGATCTATAATGAGAGTGAGGTGACAAAAGAGCAAAGAGCTACAAATCCAGCTCTGAAAGCCTTCAGCTGGGTATCCAATAAGTTAACACTGTAGCTGCCCAATCGACTAACTTGGGAGCTTGGGCTTAAAAATTTTCATCCTGCTCAAAGTTCTCCTTACATTCTTCTTATTCAGTAAAATGACAACTTTTATTTATGTTACAGGATAACAACTACTTTAATAACACTTAGTTTCATTAGTTTTCACTGTACTTCCTATTTTCCTGAGAAGTTCAGAATAAGTCTCATGAGTTCATATGTTAATCTTTTAGTCTTAGCCATAGCGGTCATCTCAGTGCTGCCATCACTTAGACCTGACTCTCCATATATGTGAATCCCACACCATGAATCCAACATCATGGATCCAACCAAACATGGTTTAAAAATACTCAGGAAAATTTGTCTGTACTGAACATGGATTCCAGGAGCAGGCGCTTGCTTTATAGCTGCTTTGCTGGAATTCCGTGGATCTTTGCATTAACCAGCATCTACAGGGTTACTGTCTGGCATAGTAGCAGCCTTAAGGATTTGGGACAAGATATAGACTAGTCTCTGTTCTGATTGGCAGGTGTCTCTTCCAAGTTACCCCAGCACCCAGCAGACATACGTTATATACCTAATATGTGTCACTGCCCCCTTTGGCCAACCATGTGGCTTCTTCTCATTTCAGTGTCCCTCAGTGGCCCATGGAGCCAGATGACTTGGGGAACAGGACAACAGTCACTGAGTTCATCCTTCTTGGCCTGACAGAGAATGTAGACCTGCAATCTATTCCTTTTGTTGTCTTTTTCTTTGCATACATAGTCACAGTTGGAGGCAATTTTAGCACCTTGACTGCCATTTTAGTGGAGCCCAAACTCCACACTTCCATGTACCTGTTCCTGGGGATCCTGTCTCTGCTAGACTTTGGGTACATCACAGTCACTGTTCCTCCAATGCTGGTGTGTCTCCTGGTCCACCACTGCAGAGTTCCCTATGCTGCCTGCCTTTCACAGCTCTTCCTTTTTCCCCTCCTGGTTGGTGTGCACTGTCACCTCTTGACAACTATGGCCTATGACCGCTACCTGGTCATCTGCCAGCCCCTCACCTACAGCACCCGCATGAGCCGTGAGTCCAGGGTGCCTTGGTGGGCATCTGTTGCACTGTCTCCTTCATCAATGCTCTGACTCACACAGTGGCTGTGGCTGTGCTCGATTTCTGTGGCCCAAACATAGTCAACAACTTCTACTGTGACCTCCCACCTCTGTTGCAGCTCTTGTGCTCCAGTATCCACCTCAACGGGCAGCTGCTGTTTGTGGGAGCCACCTTTATGGGGGTGATCCCCATGATCCTCATCTCAGTGTCCTATGCTCACGTTGCTGCTGCAGTACTGCGAATCTGGTCAGCTGAGGGGAGGAAGAAGGCCTTCTCCACCTGTGGTTCCCACCTCACTGTAGTCTGCATCTTTTATGTAACTGGTTGCTTCATTTACATGTACCTGGGATCTGTTTCAGCCTCAGATAAGGACAAAGGGATTGGGATCTTTAACACTATCCTCCGCCCCATTCTGAACCCAGTCATCTACAGCCTCCGGAACCTTGATGTACAAGGCACCCTGAAGAGGGTGCTCATAGGGAAGAGGCCTCCATCATGAGAAGACTGACTGTGGGTGTCCAAATGCCCCACTTCCTTCAGCAACCCCTAACTTCTCACATTGAAAACCTAAATAGGTGAAGCTGAAAATTTCAGGGGTTTTGTCTGAATGGAGAAAAGTAGTTAGCATGGATCAGTGTGGAATATGGTTTGATTTGGATTCAAGAGAAAGGCTAACACTTAAGATGAAGAGTATCTGAGTTACTGGTAGAAAATACATTGAACATAGATGGGAGAAAAATGTCAGTGAGAGAATGGGAAATGAAGTATTTTGTATTTTTTATTAACAATTTCAATTTAGAATTTTAATAAAAACAACAGATAAACTATACTCACATATGGGTTCTGGTTTTTAAAAATATTGTATTTTAATTTCAGAAGTAAGTTAAAGTAATTGTGAAGTTAAGTTGGGGTTTGACAGACTCTAGGAGCAGTGTGTCAATTATTCATCAGAGTATCTGGTCAGCATCTTCTTCTGAGAAGATCATCACATACCTGTTCCCAAACCAGTGTTTGCTTCCTAATTCATGAATAGGCACAACACTTACGTGCCAGTGTGTGACCTGATTCTCACCACTCCTCTACTAAAACATGAATGTTTCTTCATATGTTTTATCAGAAGAAACATTAAGACCGTGTAAGATTTATTTTTATTTTAATGATTGTGTTGGTTTGGGGGATATTTTTGTAAGGAGAAACAATATAATACAAAACACATATTTTATAAGATTATAGTAGTCACCCAAAGAATGATGTATAAAAACGTGTAGAAAATCTGTCTATGTGCTAAGACCAAGGAAACTAGCTGAGGGCCTGAATCTCATGGAAATGTTTTGTATGAGTCTAGCTGAAGACCTACAGCTCATAACAATGCCTCCCATGAATCCAACTGGAGGCCCAGAGCCAATAAAAATATCTCATGCAGGCCTGTTTTATGGATCTGTGCTGGGAAGGCCCAAAGGTCAGTGGTGGAATCTAGGAAGTCTGTGCCAGTGGGATGAAGGATCTGTGGTAGGAGGCTGAGGGATCCGCGCTGGAGGCAGGAAGCAATGCTCAAAGTAAGAACCAGAGCTCCCCCGGAAGGTACCACAGCCATCCTCAGCAACAGTGAGGTCCTGAGCTCCTCTGATGGTCAAGATGGCCAAGTTTTCATCAGGGAAGCCAAGGCAGCAAGCCTGTCTAAGAGACTGGCAGTGCACCATCTTCCCCTCCAGAGCCAGGAAGTGATGCTCAAAGTGAGGACCAGAGCTCCCCCAAAGTAAACTAAAGCCATTCTCAGTGTCTGTGAGGTCCCAAGCTCCTTGGAGGATGAAAACAGCAAAGTTTATCAGGAAAGTTAGCATGACAAGCTCCTCCAAAACAACCAACAGTTCCTACATCTTCTACCAGCTCCCAAAAGTCTCTCTTTCCTTTTCTAGTTCTGCCTCTTATGCTGCTAGTAACAATCCTCAGGTGGGCCTCCTACACCCAGCACCATTCTTACTCAGTTCAGCTGGGGATTATAAGTTGACCACCAGTTATTAATCCACTACAATGACTTTATACACTGATTATATATATATATATATATATATATATATGATTATATATATATGATTATATATATATATGATTATATATATATAATACATAAATATACATTATATATGTGACATTCAGATTAATGTCTGTATGATCATTAGTAAAGTTAAGAGACTGTCAAGGGAAATGTTTGCAATCTGTAATGACAGAGTACTGGAGCCAAGATTTTACCATCAGGGTGAAAACAGCAGTCCAGAGTGGAACAGTCAATAGAACAGCCCTTTTTCCTGAAGAGTAGTGCACTACTTCTCAAATTCATTCTATCAATCAATTCAGATGCTTCCTGGAAAAGAAGTTAGCCATTTAAAAAGACTAACTTTATTGAAATGCTTATTATCAATTTGTGGAGGCGGCAGGGAGCTCTTTGGTTATCAGGATATTCTCCAATAAAATTCTTTCCAATCAAGCTGTATGCATAGTCATCCTCCTAATCCAACAAATTACTGAGTCCACTGAGCATTCTGTTGAACTCACTTCAGAAGCCACTGATTTCCTCCTGATTACCACCATTCCAAATCTAGATCTTTCTCAGGTGCATGAGGCTGTCCTTTCTTCTTTCTGAGCTCACCTTTCAAGCTTTCCATTTCAACTACAGACTCTCTCAGGTGAATCATAAGTGTCTTTTCATGCAGTTCTGTGCTTAATCTTCCCTAAACAAGTGTGGCTCACACAGGAAGACATGACCATAATCATTTCTGTACTTCTTGTAGCTTCTTTTGATCATCCAATGGAGATCATAAGCTCCTTAAGGACAAGATGCATGTCTTATACTGTGTACTCTAGACACCCAGCACAGTGCTTATGAGATAATCTTTAAATTAATGGACCTATGAAAAGAAAATGTCTTTTACCTAAGATGTCAGTGAAACTACTATGATTTCAAAACACTCTAAGAGGGCCAATATTAGGATGGTACGAATGCACAGAGAGAAATTTTTTGGAAGAAGAAATTTTCTACTGATGCAATAAAAACAAACATTGAGTTTGACATTACAGGAAGAAGCTTTCTTGAACTTGGGCATAAACTGCAATTTAATTTCTCCTTTAAAATAAGAGAAACAGCCTTAAGATAGAGGCAAAAAAGTGACCCCTTGCAAAGAATTAGAAAGAGAGTAATTAATTACAAAAGCTGAGCACAGAGCCCCAAAAGAGGAAATTGTTTTTTTTTTTTTTTTT